GAATGCCCTAAAGCTAACAGGAAGGGCAAGTTCTGACTAAGGGAGACCCAGATTCAAAAATTTCAGATGGTGGAATGGCTGAAACCAAAGGTTCCCACCTTTCTGAGCAACAGGGGGGGAAACATGAAAAAAAAATCTGCTATTATCAGTTAAAAAAATAAAAAAAGTTTTGCTTCAGAAAGCTCCTACCCTCAGGAAAGGCTTGTGACACTGTGAATTCAAGAAACATGAAATCAAAGAGGTATATGCTTAGCTGAGATGAATACACCTTCTGAAGTCTTCTGAGTCATTACATTACACACATTTTGTGTCTGTAAAGATTAGCTAAATATGCAATCGAGTCCTAACACTTAACTGAAAGGGCATCCCTGCTTTGCTTATTGGAGCCCCAAATTCTTCTTGAATATTTAATACACTGGCCCGAGTCTCCCTTGATAACAACTGGAGACTTTGCCGACGAGGACACAGCTTGAGAGAAGCATACCTGAATTTTCAAGATGCCAGCCACCTGAGTGGTTGAAGGGGTGATTGTAAACTTCCATTCTGACCTCCAACGGCCATTCCTTAAAAAAATAAAATAGAAATCAGATGTCACCCCACTGGTTAAGGAAAAAAAAACAACATACAACTGATATGGAAAACAGAGAATGAAACATGCTGCTGAACTACACATGCACAAAGTCTAAAACATCATTAGTCAAGAAGAGAACAGTTTCCCAAAATATTTACCTTCAGTTTTGGATATGGACCAAGGAGATTTATTAGTAAGGTCCTTCTAACAACAGTACTTAACTTCTGAAAATACCTAAAGCCTCCAATGTTTTTTTCCTCCTTTATTATTAATTAGTCATATGGAGTCAGTATTTTGTTTCCAGGACCTGGATAACTTGCTAGATCAGCCAAAGTTACACTTCACATCAGGCTATGAAAAACTTGAATGGAAGGAGCAAGACTTTCTCCTGTGCTGAAAGGCAACAAGGCCTTTTAGCTCTTCTAGCATTCCTATTCCAGGACAGAAATGCTCTTCTAGCATTTCCTTCCACAAATGCAACATTCTTGACAAATTGCTTAAAGGGAGTTTCAAACATCTGGAAAACACTACGGGGAGATTGTAGTTTCACCTGATTTCTTTCCTGTAGACTAGACAGTTTCCTAGTTATGAGGTTAGTGGATAAGATGGTTAGTAAATTAGAGCTATAGTAAGAATGCACGATGCTGTCTCTCAATTCCTCCTTTGTTTGCACTTGAAGTAAAGAAAGATACTGAGTTCCAATCCTACTACTAACATTAAGTGTAGATTCCAGTGCACTCAACAAGAGAAAGGCAGAAGGACTTTAAGATTAACAGCTAGTAATGGATGTATATCGGCACCTCTTAGATACTAACAACGTTAACTCAATCAGAAAGCAATTAGTTATTTCAGACAATATCCAAACTACAAAGTATGACTGAAAATCCAGACTAAGGCAATTCAGAAGCTTGTTGGCATTGCTAAGAAAACATGAAGGGTGTCCAAACTCAGTGACACTAATATTACTGGTAGCCTTAAGACAGGCCCATTAGTTGTAAGAAAGCTTATGTGCTCAACTGTATTTTGGGTGGAATATTAGATTTTAGATGCACGGGATTCAACGACAAGCTAACTTTGTGGTCCTTGAAGTTAAGGCGACCACAATGTTTTCATCCAGGGATATCTTTTTTGTCCTTAAAACGCTATTCCAAGAAAAGAGTTCAAGTTCACAAGGATCCCTCTGTAGTTATTTACTTCTCCTGATTTCAGATGTTTTGTAAGAGATTAACCATCCTGACTTATTTTTCACACTCTTTAATGAACTATCTTTCCTACTACATTGGCAGTATTTCAGAAATTCATAGAACCTTTTTCTTTGGCATGCATTGGTTTTTTATCACCCAGCAAACTTGCTTTCATGGTAGGCTGCTAGTCTTCCACATGCCTGAAAAGCTGTGACACCTTGACAACACTGACTGTGGCTTGGGCTGGATGTCCAGAAATAGAGCTTGATACCTGAAGAGCCTGGTCAATTTTGAATCTATTCCTCCATCCCCAAATCCCTAAAACCAATATGCATTTAATAAAACTTGCTAAGAATGATAATTAGAGTGACTATCCCTCTGTAAAACTCTTAGAAACACAGTCAATATTTACCCATAGATGTCCAACCATAACTTTATTAAAGAAGTTAATCTCCATCTATGAAATGTTGTTGCATATCTGCTCCTCTTCTTTAATATAAAGACTAAAATAGTAAAGTAACTAATTGGAATAGCAAAATTCATTCATACTTCTGAACTAAAAAGAAAATCAGTATTATTTCAAGTTACTTTTAATAGAAAACATGCAGACTTAACTAGTCAAGGTAAAGTCAGTAGGAAAATGTATTAACTGTGCAAATTCAGTTAAAATCTATGAAACAGTATACTGGGGAAATCATTTAACCGATACAGACACATGCTGAAATTATATGCATATGTAATATTCACCTTTAGCATCAGAAAAAGATTTCTGCACTTCCATTCATTACCCGCGGGATTACTAAATATAATTTCAAGCAGATTCAAAACAGTAAATAAAATAGTAATGAAGCACATTTCTTCACACAACTGCATGTATTAGCTATCTTTAGGAGACACTTCCTTAACTCCATTCCAATGCTGGGATATTAATCTTAACTCTGGCCAGTTTCCTGCAAGGAGCTATCCAAAGTTCACTCCAGGCTGTGGAAAAACATCTTTCAACCAAGTACTGAAAAAAGTCCCGCTGCAGTTTGTCAGAGTTCACTTCATCCAAGATCGCCTATATCTACCTCACACAGAAATTAATGATTCAAGTCGTCCAGTAAATTAATCTTTGGTCACCTTCTTTCTCTGAGACATGCAGACTAGAAGGAGCTGCGTTTATTCTGTCAGTCTCAAAAGGAAGCAACACAAGCAGAATCAAGTGTATTAGGGAACACAGGCATGGATATTGGTGCTGGTGTGATAAACTGGAAGAGTCAGAGGGAATTTAATGAAGTTCCCAAAGTTCTGTAAAGGAGATACAGACATCCAGTCTGCCATTTCACTTACCACAAAGGAAGAGGTTTCTATATAGTTTTGGCAGAAAAACTTGGGGTGGAAGGAGAAAAAAAGTCATATGCAAGATGTGCATGCACCTCCGTCTGTGAACTAAGGGTTATCAGTGTAAATGGACCAGTGTAGTTATTCAGCTTGTTGTATTTTACTGTATGCATACAGAAACTTACCAAAAATTTTTTGCTTGAAACTGATGGCTCTCTATGCATGCAATAATGGTCTGCTGTCCATCAATTGTTTTACCATACACCTTAATTAGAAATGGAAAAAACAAACAAACCAACCACAGATTAAGTTTCAGTATCAGTCTTGCTCAGACTTAGAGATACCTAGTCCTATTATCGTTACAACACAGAATAGCATAATAAAATTTACTTTTATAACCACTATGGTTCTTACATGGTCTTAACTACACGAAACATTAAATTATATATTATGATGCAAAAAAAATTAACACTAAAAAAATCTGAAGATCAAGCACCTTAACTGAAATTTTATATACAGCAAACTGATTTTTCTGCAACTACAGGAAAGTTAAGCCTATAGCAGCAACTGCTGTGACAATATATATTACCAGCTGGGCTTCAAATACCAGTTATTCTACAACTAAATGATGATTTAAACCTTTACAGACCCATGAAAAGGTGATTTAAAGGGTGCTTTCGGTCCCCTGTTCTGCTTTATCCCCTAAAATCAAATGCTACTAAAAATGATTTCAATGAACATGCAATCTGCTTTCTTTTGCAGAAGCTGGAACTCATCTGACTGCCTGAGGATCCAATCCAACTTGTTAACTGATTTTTTTCTTCCTTCCCTAGTTAATTTTTTCCATCAGGAAAAGCAAAGGACAACTATCATTAAATCAATTTGCTGGACTTTAAATAGTCACAGGGCTCCTAACAGCAAACGAATGCTATTTTGGTCCAGAGTGAGAGATTTTATTTTAAGAAGCCATCTGAACCTACTGAGTCTGATGGTAAGAATATAGCACTTTCAAATATAGGAAATGTGATGGAGAGAAGACAGTTTGCTTTACTGACAATTTTCTCAGCAAACCAAGGCAAGACAGACATTTGTATCTTACTGATTTGTGGGTTTTTTTTTGTTTGTTTGTTTTTTTTAAAGTAAGCAGCCAGGTAGCCAGGATCAATAGAGCCAGCCTGCAGTAGACTACAGAAGGTCTTAATGCTGGAATAAATTTAAATAAAAACTCTTCAGAACCGAGAGTTGTCTTCACTGTGAACTGCAGTAACCACCCACTATTAATCCAACAGCTGAAATATTAAACTTCTGAAGCTGTCCCTCATTTCCCTGTAGGAATCCTTGACAAGACTCAGTTCTTTACAGCTGAAACTGCCTATCTTCCTGGTTTACAAAGAGTTACACTTTTATTTTTAGTATTATCATGGTTACATAATTTAGTACTTACTGTGCAGACACCATTTGGGTAGTGTTCTTTCACATATGCTTTCATTGCTGTTTCAACTGAATTTCTCCAGGATTCTATGGCATTTTCAACTTCATGGGGTCTAGGATCAGTAGCCTCCTTTCTTAAGTGATCAAACTTAAAAGAAATCTTGTTCTTGGGATCCAAAAATTTTCCATTTCCCAAATCACCATGTTCTGTTATCAAAACCTGTGTTTTAAAATATTAGTTAATAACATTTGCTATTAAGAGAAAAAATATCACGCCAAATCTAATTATATTCTACCTTTAACTGGAGCTTAATCATATCCAAAACCTTACATTTTCAACAAAATATGCATATAGCAAGAGTATGAGGCTAACATGACACAGTCTCAGAAAAAAAAAGATCTGACTCTCACCCTCTTACTGCAACAAACACACACAAACCAGAAATTCGTATCTTCTAGTACTAATGATGGAGCAAATTGTTTCTACAGCCCCAAATCAGGTCTGACTGAATTCAGGACAACACCACAGAATGAAATATTGAAGCTCTTCAAAAGCCCTAACTGAGTAATGTATGGAATTACTACTGTTGGAGGGCCATAATCTCAGTATTTTGTCAGGGAAGATGCATTTTTCATCTTCTTGCCTATCTAGATTCCTATACCAGAACATCTTTACCAGTTTAAGGAACATGGCAAGTATTTCATTGGATTCGTACCTGTTCATCGTAACCGTCAATTTTTACTGGAGTAAACTGGTCCAAGTTGTACTGTGCAAATGCACTGCAAGAGAAAGAAACACCAAAAGCCTGCATCAAGCACAATCTTCTTCCTTAGCAGCTGTAAGAAACTTAAAACACTAGCTAATAATCTGGGCAATAATGCTTCAAAACATGGTATCAATGCTTCATTATCTAGTAGGCCCAAATTCTTGGAATCGCCTTGGTCAATTCAGTGCTCATATTACCAATTCCTACCACTATTACACAAGGGTTTATGTTCAAAAGTAACCTGAAAAAGACAAACACAAACTTTACAGTAACCCAAAGAACAGGTAAAGTTTAAATTCCACAGGGATCCCAACCTACTAGGCCAGACATCTCCATTCCACGCTAAGCCAGACATACCATGGCATCGCGGAGATGCGGTGGGAGGGCTCCAATGACTGGAGTGTCAGAATGGAAGGATACAGGCTCTTTAGGAAGGACAGGCGAAGGGGGTGTTGCTTTCTATGTCAGAGAGCAGCTGGAGTTTGTGGAACTCCAAATAGGGATGGATGAGGAGCTGACCGAGAGCTTACGAATCAGGATTAAAGGGAGGGCAGGGAAAGGCGATACATAGTAGGAGTTTGCTACAGGCCACCTGGGCAGGATGAGTGAGTGGATGAGGCCCTCTGCAGACAGATAGCAACAGCCTCACGTTCACATACCCTGGTCCTTCCTCATGGGGAATTCAACCACCCCAATATCTGCTGGAGGGACAACACCACAGGGCACAAGCAAGCCAGGAGGTTCCTAGAATGCACCGATGACAACTTCCTTATCCAGGTGACGGAGGAACCGACAAGGAGGAGTGCCATGCTGGACCTTGTTCTCACCAACAGGGAGGTGAGAAAGCGGAACGTGAAGCTCAAGGGCAGCCTTGGCTGCAGCAACCATGAAATGGTGGAGTTTGAAATCCTTATGGAGGCGAGGAGGGTGCGCAGCAAGCTCGCTACCCTGGACTTCAGGAGAGGAAGCCTTAGCCTCTTCAGCGAAGTGATTGGCAGAGCTCCATGGGATGAAGCCCTGGAGGGAAGAGGGGCCCAAGAGCGCTGGCAAGTATTCAAAGACCTTCGCCTCCAAGCTCAGGAGCGATGCATCCCAATGAAGAGGATGTTAGGGAAAAGCGGCCGCAGGCCTGCGTGGATGAACAAGCAGCTCCTGGACAAAATGAGGCAAAAAAAGGAAGCCTACAGTAGGTGGAAGCAGGGACAGGGACCCTGTGAGGATTATAGAGAAGTTGTCTGACAAGTCAGGGATCATGTTAGGAAAGCCAAAGCCCTGACAGAACTGAACCTGGCCAGGGATATCAAGGCCAACAAGAAGGGCTTCTATAGGTACACAGGGGACAAGAAGAAAGTCAGGGAGAATGTGGGCCCTCTGCGGAAGGAAACAAGAAAGCAGGTTTACCAGGATGTGGAGAAGACTGAGGTGCTCGATGCTTTTTTTGCCTGTCTTCACTGGCAAGGATGCAGGCAATACCCCCTGAGTCATGGAAGACAAGGGCAGGGACTGATGCTTTTTTTGCCTGTCTTCACTGGCAAGG